GGTTCATAATAATTTATCCGCGATATTCGCGCGTATAATGTCATATTTACATGTGTAGGGTATAACGTTGATTCATGAAAAAGCAATTATATAAGATCAACGTGTATATACGGTCATAGTAGTTACGATCATAATATTGTGCATTCGAGCAATAAACGTCATAGGTGATAAACTGTCATAGCGAAATTATCTTACGAGGCAATAAACGCCTCGCGTTAACTTCGCAAGCATGTGGGGAGGGAATAATGTACAGGATATTCCAGAAATCGTATGTTTCCTGTTGATCACATTAAAAGCCATGCGAAGAGAACGCACAACGCCCACACATTATCAGAATTCCTAGAAACAGCAACAATGCCTGGTAAAGAGAGAGTGACACACGTTCCAGAGAGAACAATAGACGTAGGCCGGTATTCATAGTCAGATCTTTTATTTAAGATTGTCTTAAGTTTATCTTTAGATAATGTTTAATTGGCTACGTATTATCTAAAGATGAACTTAAAACGATCTTATATATAAGAACCGACTATGAATACCGGCCATAGTTAATAAAAGCCAAAGTTTAAAGCGGATTTATAGACGGGAAAAAAATTTATTATTTGCAAGAAAATAGATTTCTTCGAATTTAGTTTCCTTAATTCAAAGAAGTATTGGGTAGATTTAAAGATGTATGTCGATATAGCTATATGTAGTATAATTTTGTTTTCTTGATTAAACAGTGTAGAGCTAATCTCAGAAATTATTCATAAACAACATGGTATCATTGGGACAGAAAAAGCATAAAAATCGCAATTTTGTCCCATTTTTGTACTTGATATTGTTTAAATAAATTATTAAAAAATTGAAAAAAATATATAAACAGAAAATCTTAAAAAACCGTAATTGCAATTCTCGATGTCATAGAAGTGTACCATAAAAATTTCATTTATTTTTAACGTACATAAGCAGAAATACATATTATGATATATATATATATATATATATATACAGAAATTGTGTATATATATATATATATATATACACAATTTCTGTAACTTTTAAAGCAAATATCTCAGAAACGGATCGGACAATCGATCGCAAATTTAACACAGGTTTTTGGGATATATAAGTGCACAATCTCTGTAAATTTCAGCTTTATCCCTTTATTTTGACATAAGCGACATACATCTTTAATAAAACATTTTTTACATTGCGAGTTTAAAATATTTTCTCGAATCTACCTAATACTTCTTTGAATTAAGGAAACTAAATTCAAAGAAATCTATTTTCTTGCAAATAATGATTTTTTTTAGTGCAAGTATTGCCAATTATAATGCGTGACAAATATAACAGACGTGCTTAAAGACAAAGATATATTTATATAGACAATAAAGATATCTCATAGTACGCTATATTTATCGCAAATCTAGAATGATTTGCGTTCGACATTAAGAGATTTGCATGCGGTCCGTTTCGTCACTAATATCACATCCTAGAACTCTCGGGCACTGTCTCGGCATAAAAGTGGATTGGAACTGGTTCGCCTTGAATTGAAATCAAAATAGCATTTTAGTAGCTTGTGTCATTGCGATTTTATGCATCTTCACGTTCGATTCGCAAATATTTGCGCACGTAGCGAGTAACCGGGTGGCCAGGTGGAGGATACTCATATGAATGACGTACGTGACAACGGTGGCATTTATCTTCCTCAGGGAACGTTAAATTGCCACTTTACGTGCATACGTAACGCCACCATCTTATGGCAAGACAACACGTGAATGTAATGCGGAGTGTGTCTTTAAGCGATTATTTCGCTATTACTTTCGTACGAAATACCTCGTCCGGATGGTCAGATGAATGAAAATAGGCAGTACTTCCTTGCCTTGGTAATTAAAGGCTAACGATTAGCGAACGAAATATTTCTTGTGACGCTTTTAGACATCTCAGAGACTAAAACGTCCTTTAAACAATTTTTTGTTTATCAGATTTGGAGAAAAAGCGTGCCTATAAAATAAATTTTTAAAATGCAATATTACAATAGTTAAAAAGTATTCAATTTTTATTTTGTATATAGTAATTTGTGCATTTCTTATATATTTTATATTAGGGTAGACCGGGGCACGTTGTCACACATTTTTTTCAATATTTTTTGTATTTTTTACATTCAATATTTAAGAGTACTTTCATATGCCAAAATTTCGAGTGAACCCTCAGCTTCACGTGGACAGTATCGAATTTTGTGTGATTGTTACTCTACAGTTGTTACATAACAATAAATAACGACAGGTCGCTTGTGACAACGTGCCCCGTGACCGGGGCACGTTGTCACATCAAATGTAATTGGATGCAAAATGTTATCCAAACTGTATTCAACGTAAATATCAATATATTATAGTGCGCTGCAATGTAAAAAAGTAAAATCCTTCACAGAAACATTTATTTCATTTCAAAAAAGTACAAAAAGCACGAAGTTTTCGTCTTAATCTAAATACAAGAATTCCACTCGAATGCGCAACTTATTGATACACATTTTTTCTTTTATAATCATGTCGGTGATTGAACATAAAATATTTTTACTCGTTATCGTCATCCGAAGATTCGCAATAGATTCCCATCAAATTCGTGACAACGTGCCCCGAGGGCATTTTTTTACTTCAAACAGCCTCATGGCCGACACGTTTGAGATATTCATAAGGTTAGGTATTGCACGCGGTAGGTAAAAGTACATACTTTAAGATAATATAAAGGTCTATTCTGAAAAAACATAAGCTTCATGTCCAGTACGTTGAATATTAGACAATAAAATTTTACTTACGGTCGCAAAAAACTTTCAAGTTGATTTTACGTCAACACGGCTGGAGCAATCTCAACACTGTAAACACACCAAAGATGGGCATACACTAACACGTTTTGGGAATGACGGGTGCTGCCCTCTGGTTATTAGTTTTTTAAATAAAGCCGATGTGACAACGTGCCCCGGTCTACCCTATATTATATATTTTTTGTTAAGAAGATAATATATAATATATAATATATATATATATATATAATTTATATACTTTATGTGCTTTCATAGTCTCTGCGAATGTATTAAAGTTTTAAAGTCAAAGAACAGATTCTGAGAAATCGTTCTGCCGAGCTTTTGTTCTGCAGAGCTCATTGTTTCACTGATTATGCAGTTCGTGACGTGAGAAACAATATGCAAAGTTTTGCGGTCAACAATATACATTAACGTGCCCGATCTTTTTTCCTTGGGACAGACGCGTGCGTTGCAATAGTAGCCTAACTTTAAATCAAGTGTGTTCCTGTTAAGAGGACTGCGATTGCTAAAGCATTGTGTTCAGGCCATTATCCACTTCTCCACTTACGATTTTGAAATAAGAACACTAGTGAAATCGAGAGCTATAAAGTCGGGAGGTCAAGTTATACGACCCTATAGTAAGACAATCGTATCGTTATCGCTTCTGACGTATCAAGTCAGATTGATAAATTTTGTTCATGTTCATGCAGTCGAAGCAGATACTTTTTTCTCTTTCGCTTTGTAAATTTTCTTACCAATATTGGCAGAAATAAAAAAAAACTCTTTTTGCATACCGGAATTCAAACAAGATTACACTTGCTTTTGCGTTGAAAAGCAATAAGTTTTGTTTCTTTTTGGCTGGTAAATAATAAAACGTGTTTTTCGATCGAATCGATAACGAATGAAACAATAATTTTACTGGGCAGAAATAGAATGGGATTCCCGTATTTCAAGAATATTAAAATGTTTTTATGTTACTGGGAGTAAATAAATATTTTTTATATTTAGTACAACGCGAGAAAAATATTTGTTTGAAAATACGTGGATAAATTTCTTTTGTCATAATTTTGATTTAAAATTAAGATATTTATAGCCGTATTCATAGTCTTTTCTTGAGTAAGGATTCCTTGTTCCTCATTCTACACTTCATAAATTTTAAGGTTTTTTGATCGATCAAGGAAGGTTAATGAAATGTAGAATAACTAATAAAGAACAAGGAATCCCCTTATTTCTCAAAAAAGGCTATTATTAATGAATACAAAATGTAGAATAGGTATTACGCATTATTTATTCAACTAAGTAGTTGACAGTGATCAGATAAAATATAAAATAAAATGTATACAGTGATTCGCGTTTTCGATTTTTGAACATATTAAAACATAATAAGTAGAAACTGCGTCAAACCGAATCTTCATATAATTAACTACGAATTAAAAATATATACGTTATACATATCCGTTTAATTATTACCAAAAATTTTTATCACTCTTGATCGCTTTATTTCTTTTATTATTATATAAATCACTTAATGATCGCAATTAACAACTGAGCCTGAAATAACGGAATAATTTAGCTTTCTACGTTGCAGCGAATTCATCAATTAAAATAGCTCTTCCGGCCTTGCGCCTATATATGAATCACACAAGCTGTATACGCGAATGCGATGTAATGTATAAGTTTATTTGTCTTGGACTTTGTCCTGTTCTCTTTGTCCGATATCCCTAAGATATGTATTAGTAGTCGTAAGTCATAAAAAGTAGAGATTACACTTATGTGCCATCTCGGTACGACGGTCAACGGTTGACTGATTGTATAAAAAAAGAAATACTTAATTCTGATTAATCCGTGAGCTCATCGAGAGTACCAATTATACTCAATTATTTGCCATTGCAAATACGTGCGTAACGTAAACTTGTTTTTCACGATACGCGCAAATATTTTAATCCGATAAGTCATTAAAAAATATACCCAATGATCAAAAATAAATAAACATAATCTATCCTTGTTCCTTATTATCTTACGCATTTGCATAAAAAAAATATTTGTTAAAAGATAATTATTTCAGAAAATCATTTCTTCATAATTCAAATCTATCAATTAATGCAAATCTATCAAAAATATCTTTTAATGGTCTAGGTTATCGCCAATATTATTGACAAACAGAAAATATTAAGATTCACTCTTAATTATCACGGATCTAAAAGTTTTATTCCATTTTCAGATGTGAAGACGATCCTCAAATCCGTCAGCGGCAGACTGCGGTCCAGCGAGCTGACGGCTATTATGGGCCCTTCAGGCGCTGGAAAGTCAACGCTCCTAAATATCCTCACCGGATACAAGTGAGTCAGCTGCTTCCACATGATACAGTTATTGCCAGTAAAATAATACTGTAACGTCTATAACAGCGCATTAAAATGGCGCGAAAAGGCGCACGCATATTTCGAATTAAATATATCTTGCGCAAATTAATCGGTAGAACGAGATATAAACTTGCACATACTTGTCGTCTTGTTATCGTAATAGTTTGCAACATGTTGCAATTAATGTATATTACCATAGATACAAATAGGCTGGTAGTAGTAGCAGATGAAAGGTCATTTTATTCATTCTTTGCTGTTGAACAGCTTGATAGTATTCCATGATTCATTCTAGTGTACGACTCTCGTTCTAATTATTCCCCTACATTGTCACTAATTCTGTATTATTGAAAGTAAAGTTACTAAAAGAAAAATCGGGGAGACAAGAAATTCACTCGGGAATAATAAGCGACTTCCAAAAAGTCGATTTTAATTTATCATACAGAACAATCTCCATAAATTAGGATTCTTTTATTCGCTATTTATTCATATTAAATCATATTTATTATTCGATTACCTTGATATATTGCTACAAAATACTGCATATACTTTGCAAACTTCCATTTCTCAAAGACCAGTTGAAAAGAATATTGAAACAAAAAGAATATTTAAGCGGTTTGAATGTCGCCATCAGCGGCTTTTTATTCAGTTTCTCCGATCGCAGAACATTCGCAGTCTCTTCCAGCATCAAAGCACAAAGCATTTCGTCGGACCTTTTTTTAGAAAAGATATACGTCAGATTATTAACCGAAACGCCGAGTAACAGGTATTTCCTGATGTAAAAGAAATCCTCGCATCTGTTGTTCATACGTCAATAAACAAATGCGACACCTATTGGGAAAACTGCAATCAGGAGAATAATGCGCGAACAGAGAATAACAACGTCTTTCTCTTTCTGCAAAAATTGAACGCCTCAACTCTAAAGTTTTAAGGAGGTATGATACCTTTGAGCATGAACTCTTTTCACGATTTGTTTTAACATATAAGGAATAGTGCAATCGAAATTCGGCTTTAAGGGGTCTTTTTATTACACATTAAAAATGTAAAAAAAAATTTTTTGTACATAAAATACACCCGGTCAAAAGAGGCCGTGTGCGTCACGGGGATCCAGCTGGTGTACATGATTTCGGCTGACTGGTATGACCTAGAACAGAAATCCAAAAAAATTCTTAATCTGTGATAGATTGGCTATGGAAGTACGTAGGATTTTTTAAATTGGATTGTTAGTTTTTTGGGGGGAACCAATTTTATACACGATTTTTCAGTGTAAATTTGGACACTTTTGTTCAAATTAGTGTCAATTTCGCAAAAGTCAATATTTTTCAAAAATTCTACGTACTTCCATAGCCAATCTATCACAGATTAAGAATTTTTTGGGATTTCTGTTCTAGGTCATACCAGTCAACCGAAATCATGTATGTACACCAGCTGGATCCCCGTGACGCACACGGCCTCTTTTGACAGGGTGTACAAACATGATTTTATATACAAAAAAAATCTTTTTTACATCTTTAATGTATAATAAAAAGACTCCTTAAAGCCGATTTTCGATTGCTCTATATTCCTTATATGTTAAAACAAATCGTGAAAAAGAGGTTAAATTTTATGCTCAAAGGTGTCATACGCCCTTTAACTCATTACTGGACATTAGGGCATTCGTACAAATCTACACTGTTAAATATTAAAGGAAATTTAAACCAATATCTTGAGTTGAATAACATTTTGTTATTTTTAATTATTATACGCGTCAGAATTTATTATTTTAACACAAAACAGTATTATTTTAACTTCATTAGTTTAGTTAAATTAACGACATATTGAATAGGAGTAGTAGACCTATAGGAATAGTTAAAAATTACTCTATAGTTGAGTATAATTTAACACTACGAATTTAAGTGTATGCAGCGTACGTAAAGTAACGTGCGTCTCTTTGCGGAAAGATTTCGTCGCGTAATTTCTCGCCATGACCTCGTCGCCACGTACTTTCAGTTTTTTGTCCAAACGTTGTCCAAACGTTTCGCTTTCTTCGCCATGCTACGGTCTCGCTTTCTTCGGCGATATATGTACGTTCTCACTTTCTTCGCATTTTGTACCGTTATGAAACTGCTACGGAACCGGAATATTCCGCCGTTGATATTTGAGATAATAAAAAATTTTACTTATACGCGCGACAGGAATATCCACACATATATCGCGCGTCAATTTTTATACAGCCATGCGTATGTACAATTCAGCTGCGCATCGTATAGAAACCACTCCGCAAAAGCGTTCGGGATTATTTAATTTATAAAAAATTGACAACGCATTTGATATTTTCTACTTCAATATGCTTTGGCCGATTAACTTCTACCAAAACGTTCTGCTTGATGAAGCAGTTTACATTTGTACTTTTATATATTTTTTATTTATTGCATTGTCCCGGAATATTAAGCTAATTAGTGCTGCAATGCAAATAATACGGCATTATGCATCTATTTAAATAAATCAATGGATACCGAACTGGCTTGTCCGAGAAATAAATTATTTTTCAAAACGTTACGAGCGTCGAGAGCTATCGCCTAGTCAGAGGTTGCCTACTTAGCATTCCGTATATAGTAAAAAAGTTCCTTCTCATTTGCGTACAAATCGAATAGAGCAGTTGCGATGTCAAGGCGCTTTCCTGCCTCCGATCTATTTTACGTAGAGATTGTAAGAATAACTGTCAAGCAAGAAACTATAGCGTGACAACGTCCATTTTGCTGCCTCTAAATCGTACGTACAAGGGCGTTGCAAATGACACCTTTCCGAGGAATGCTCTCAAATTAAACTGTTTGAACCGGTCTTCAACATTTTATAGAAACCGGCACGCAGATCTCGGCCGCTAATTGCTCGATATAATGACGTTTCATGATTGCTTTTTGATCGAGACAGTCAATTACGGTATAAAAAGCAATATATGCAATTATAATAAATTATTTTGCTCACAGTCGTCGACTTTGTACGTCGCGGTCTGTTTAAATGAATATTCTGCGCATAAGTTAAGTTAAAATTTAAAAATATATAATATATAGATATAAAAAAGGTATGAATAATTATAAACACACATGTGCGACACGAATACGACCAGTGATACGAATCACTTTCGATTTCTTCCGATCCACCCGATTTCACCTGTTTAATTGCGCCTCGAGATCGATCAGCTTTTCGATTCTGCTCCCCGCAATATTTGCACAGTGGTACACAGCTCGGCAGGCTCGATGCAGTCTGCCTGCGAGCAACGTGACCTACGGTGTATTTGTTGGCACGTAAAAGTTGTTTCGCCGCTCGTTCGCTTCTTTTCCATCGCATTTTCCAAACCGGTTTCACAGTCAACCAGCGCGGTGCGTCGAATCGCGTTTCGCGCATCCGCGATTGAGAACCTTTTCACGATGCACGCACGTCGCACGATGATCTGACATTGAGCCTGTCTTTATGCGACGGAACGAAAAATCGATGAGTCATTAATGACTGTATTTTTGGCCAACAGAATTAAGCGTCTACTGCTGCCCTGGTGGAAAAATGTCTCAGAATTTTTTATAATATTAGTCAGAATTTCTATTAAAATTTTCAGATTTTCTCATCAGAATGCTCAGAATTTTTCAGATTTTTTTATACGAATTGGAACGTATTTCAGAAAAACTCAGACAAAATAAGAATAAAATATTTCAGATTTTTCCAATCAACATATCAACTTTGTAGAAATCTAAATAAATATGAGAAAATCTATGCAATTTATCAGTAATTTTCATATATATATGGATACTGATATATTCCGAAAATCCTCATGCAATTATTTCCGTAAAGTATCTGAGAAGAGAAATTTTATAGAGGAAAGTTCCCTATATTATGAGATAGGGATCCTAATATGAGATGGCGAGGTTTTTTCATGGTGGGATCAACAGATGGGGGGATCAAAATCCTATATAGGGCCTTTTAGATTAACATATCTCATATATTAGGATCTTGTCTCATAATAGGGGACTTTCCTCTATAATTTTTAAAAATAATTTTTTACAAGTTCTCAATTTTTACACAATTTCTGAGAAAATATGATGAATTTTTTCATCAGGGCAGCCTAAATTCTAATTTCTTCAGCGAACGTTTTACTGACGTAAAAGAGCATCGTTCTGACGTAAGAGACGGATGAAAGACGTTTTTATATTCGGACAATGAGAGTGGCGAAGAGATATGCGTGTGCATAAATTTGCATATCTTCTATAAATCGTCTTTATGATACAACATATGCATCTGCGGGGAATTGCTGGCAGCAAAATGTATCAAGATTGTTTTTTTCCCAATATTTAGAATTATTCATTAGAAATTTCTTATCAGGACGACAGGCGCGGAAGGCAGCGTCACGATGAACGGCCATGAAAGAAACCTCAGTGCCTTCAGGAAACTCTCCTGCTACATCATGCAGGATAATCAGCTTCACATGAATCTAACGGTCGCGGAAGCTATGAAGGTTGCAGCGAACCTCAAGCTCGGCTCACACGTTAGCCAAGCAGAGAAAGAAGAAGTGGTAAGTTAAATCCTCCTATTTAATCTTTTGCCCTTCGGACAAACTCTTCAAAGTGCATAACGATTGAGTGAAGTTGTTTATTCGTGTACAGATATGCAATACATATAAATTTTATCTTTTGCATTATAAAAATATTGCATATAGTGATAAATAGTAAAATTTATCGTTGTACTTGTTGCTTGTTTTATTTACTTTGGCGCTACGAAAAAATGATTATTTATTAAAAGGAAATCTGCGCAATTACAGCTAATTATCGGCATTATTTTAATTATATGAAATAAAAATTTAATGTATTCTTCAAACCGTTTTGCGACACTTCCGCCTTTGTCCTCAATTAAGGTCAATATGATTTTATATGCTATTCAGTTTATTGCCATGAATTTCGTCGATTCTTCCGCGTAGATCCAGGAAATCCTTGAGACTCTCGGCTTGTCTGAGCACCGCCGTACCATGACCTCGAACCTGAGCGGCGGTCAAAAGAAAAGGCTGTCCATCGCTCTGGAGTTAGTGAACAATCCCCCTATAATGTTTTTCGACGAACCAACTAGGTAAGTTTTAATTATTATGCAAAATACATAATTCAATATTTATGATCGTGTTCATATAAATTTGAAAGTCAATTTTGCCTTTAAAAATCAAAACTCTGACGCATTAACTCAAATAAACATGTTGCAGCCAGATAAAAATACTGTGTATTGATAAACTGTCTATAAGTGACGTATCACGTATTATAATTTTAATTCCCCATGCACACAACAATTTTAATTCAAGAATGAACTTTGTGATATAATTTGTCAAAGAAAATGAAGCCATGAAAAGAGAATAAAGAAGAGTATAGAATGCTTAAGAGCGTTTGATCGAATTGATCTCTAGTCAATCAACCCACAGGAAATCTAGTAACGATCTCTTTTGCTTTCTCTAAATGAGAGAAACTTCGCCTTTCCTCAATAATTTCCTTGATCTTCGAATGTCGATCTTGGGGCAATGGCACGGGCAATGGCACTGGCAATGTCAAGATATCTTTTATCTTTCTACAAAGTTGCAAGGAAACGAGCGAATTTTTTTAAATTTTAATAACACGCGTATAATTTAGGTTGAATTTCTCTTTGCAACTTTCAAGGAATATCGATGCAGCTATCAGCTATGTTTCAGACTTACAAATTTTGCAATCTTGCAAGATAACTATAACGATAAATAATTACACGAAAATTTTTACAATATATTCTTGAAACCATCAAATCTGTGTCACCGGAAATTAAGTAACTTGAATTAATTTGGCTTTTGTGCTTTCTACTTAATATCGGTTGAAAACTAATCCACGCTTTAAATCACATATTGATATATGTAGAAAAATTATTAGATACACGCATACCGAGTGAATATCTGGAATCATCTCGCTTACGTTAGATAAAATGAGATACAAAAGGGTTTAACACGCAACGGGAGAAAGTAAACTCGGTTTTTGAAACGTTTTTCTCGCCGGCAACTTTCACTGAGGCGCCGTATGTGTACCTATACACCTACATTGGAATTTTTGCATTTATAATGGCGCCGCATCTCATTCCACGAATTATCGCGCGCAATGCTTTTGATAGATGATCTTATCTGTGCGTGTTTACGTAGCGATACGTAAGTGCGACATAAATAATAAATTACTCATGCTGTTCAAAGTTTAAGTCCGGCAGTCAGTTTCCTGACCTATCGTATCACGCGTCTTTTCGAAATATTCTTTTGTCTCGCAACCGGTTCTGGTATAAGGATCGCTCGGTATCACTTTCCTCCATGGACCATGATGACAGAACGCGACGTCACGCGGGTAAATCCGTGACCGGTCCTTTCAAGGCTTATACTTGGATCAAAAACTTTTGGTTCTCCCCCCTTTAAAAAAATTACTCTTATTTAGCGCCACCGGCGCCGTTTACACGTTAATATTGGAGGAAGGGAGACTTTTAATAAGACGTACTTAATTCTTATTTATTAGTGTTTGATGAACATATATATATATTATATATTACTGCACTCTTTTTACTAAATATGAAGAAGAAAGTATAAGTACACTATAACGATATTAATTTATTCGGCTGTTTACACTTACAGCGGCCTGGATTCCTCGTCCTGTTTCCAATGTATCTCGTTACTCAAGACTCTGGCACGTGGGGGCAGAACGATAATATGCACCATTCATCAGCCCAGCGCGAGACTTTTCGAGATGTTCGATGCTCTCTACACATTGGCCGAGGGTCAATGCGTTTACCAAGGTTCTACATCGCAACTGGTGCCTTTCCTAAGGACAATTGGCCTTAATTGTCCGAGCTATCACAATCCGGCGTCGTTTAGTGAGTATTGTTAAATGATACTAATGTGCTCTCTAGCATTTTACTGTGTTTTATATATTAGAGTGATATAAATTAAGGAAAATAGTTTCGAAAAAAATTATTTCTGTAAGATCTGCTTTTATTTATAATAGATATATAGTAATTTTCTTTATGCAAACATTTATGGCACGATTTCTGATCTGTTTTTCAGTCATTGAGGTGTCATGCGGCGAATACGGCGATAATATCAAGAACTTAATTAACGCGATAAACAACGGCAAATACGATATACGCGAAGGACACCCGTTTCCCGAGACGAAAGAGGGAATGAACAATTGCACCGCTGCGGCGGGTATTTTGAAGAACAGTGATAACTTGGACAAGTTGAAGATCAAAAACAAGAATGACATCAGTAATCTGGAGGAGAAATTCACGGAAGAGAAAACTAGCGAGATTAGTAATGGAAAACTCATTTCCGGATACGCTACAAACGACATTGCTAAACAAGGTATATAACACTTTTTTATATTGGTAATGATGTCCGCAATAATAACTTTTCAGTTGTTTATGTATAACTTCATATATATTATATATATGAATGTGTATATATAATATATCTAGTAAACAATCTGCGCGCAATATGACAATAGATTAGCAGCAGATTTCGCTCAGATATCGCAACAGAGCCGACATCATTTGTGTCCGCATTGAACTCGTGTTTTGCCGACAGAGCCTGCCGATATAATCTGACAACAGATTGTCGACAGAAACCGAGCAGAATCTGTCATTTCACTATTTAAACATGTAAATGGAATACATCATTTAAAATTAAATGGTAGATTTTATTCACTTATCAATCTGCCATTACATTCTGTTAGCAGAATCTGTTATATTTCTGCTGGCATTCTATCGGCAACATTTGCAGCAGATATTTTTCTGTTCTCGACTACTTAATATACTTTGTATCAGTAATCTTCTTATAAGAATTTCAACTTTTTATTTCAAATTTTTTTTCTTAATTGAACTATATAAAATTTTGTTTAACTATATAAATAATTTTATTCAAGCAAGTTTTCTTCATTTAATGCAATATAATCTCATTTCAAGATTATATATTCTTGCATATAGTATATAAGTATATCAGTGCGTTGATTTGACACTTTCTTTTTTTCTGTGTATTTGGACCTTGACATCACATAGGCTTCCTTCTGATTATATTACAGTTGCAATTTTTGAAAATAATATAAAGTAATATATATTAAAATTAATGTTTTAGCACTGGATGTGGCAATATCTATGGATCCGGATAAGAAGGACAATGCTAACATAGCCTTGCTCGACGACTCCATCGTAGTTACACCGGAAAGATATCCCACATCTGAATTAACGCAATTTTACATCATTCTGAAACGTGCTTTACTTTTCAGTCGTAGAGATTGGGTAGGTATTTGAAGAAACATTGTCTATTTGTAATTGCGAATTCTACGATACTTGCAACCTAAACAGCATGCATGTCCAAAATCGGTACATAAGACGTCTTAAAGACATTTAAGATATCTTTAAGACGTCGTATGATAGGATGTCTAAAAGCGTCTTAATGACGTCTGTAAGACAGCTTATGTCCCGATTTTGAACACGGTGGTGTCTGGGAACTTTAATATAACCGCGACTATTATAATGAAATATACCATTATTTCTAATATGTGTTTCTTAATTTTTAGATGTTAACCAACTCTAATATTTCTTTATTATGTCTACAGACTCTCATGTATCTCCGACTCTTCGCTCATATTCTGGTGGCAGCGTTAATTAGCGCGCTGTATTACGATATCGGAAATGACGGCGCTAAAGTACTTAGCAATCTGGGATTCTTGTTCTTCAACATGCTGTTCCTCATGTACACTTCCATGACAATCACAATTTTGTCTTGTAAGTCGTTTGCAACTTACACTTATCATACTTATTACTTTCGCAACCGCGAAAAACTATTTTCATGGATACATCGTGACATATCTATAAAACACTAATTTTTTTTTTATTTGTAGTCCCGCTGGAACTGCCTGTGCTTTTGAAAGAAAACTTTAACAGATGGTACTCTCTCAAGTCGTATTACTTAGCGATTACCGTTTCGGATCTACCGTTCCAGGTAAGATTCATCGATTAACGATATAAGCGAAACCCAGTAAGCAAAATGATAGCAGTCTGTCTGCAGATTGGTAACAGATTTGATCAAACATGTCAGCAGACTGACATCAATTGCATTCAGCTTGTGTTCTGCCAGCAGAGTCTGTTAACATAATCAGACAACAAATTGGTAGCAGAAACCGCGCAGAGCCTGAACGGTTTCAGCAGAATCTGCTCAAGTTCTGCCGCCAATCTGCTGACTGATAATAAATAGATTCTGTTATACTTCTGTTGGCGTTCTGCCGACATTATGTGATATTTATATCAGAACAGGCCTCAAATCTGTAATCTTTTTGCCAATAAAATTTGTAGCAGATGCTTCAGCAAGATCTGCTTTCGACTGACTTAGCTGTCATAATGTATATGTAACCGTTGTACGACGAATAAATATGGTTACTCTCACGTCCTTTGCTTTCCAGACCATATTTTGCATATTGTACGTCACCGTCGTGTACTTCCTGACGAGTCAGCCGGCGGATATAACGCGGTTCTCCATGTTCGTGGGCACCTGTCTACTGATTTCTTTCGTCGCACAATCGGTGGGTCTCGTGGTCGGCGCGGCGATGAATGTGCAGAACGGTGTGTTCCTGGCGCCAGTGATGTCGGTGCCTTTCCTCCTTTTCTCAGGGTTCTTCGTCAGCTTCGACGCGATCCCGGTCTATCTACGATGGATCACGTACCTTAGTTATATCAGATACGGTTTCGAAGGCACCGCTTTGACCATTTACGGTTACGGCCGGGAGAAACTGAAATGTTTCCAGGTAGGTTTGATGCCACATCCGCATGTCGTAAATAGCCGCGGGCAAACAATGTTGCTAAATTTCCGTGTTTTTTTTTTTAGGTGTATTGTCACTTCAAGAATCCGGAGACGACCCTAGAGGAACTGGACATGCTCGACGCTGACTTTACTTTGGATATTCTCGCTCTCCTGCTCATCTTCGTTGTGCTGCGAATTGCCGCGTATCTCTTTCTGCGTTGGAAGATCAAGACCGCCCGGTAGACTACCGGTGCGCTTAAGCATCTTGTAAAATCAGATGTGGTTGCGAGTGGACGAACAAGTTAGCACAAGTGTTATACTTTTACGTTTACCTTTTACCGCGTAGAACTGCGCAGACAACAACGGACGCATTTTTTTTTGTAATCGGTAATCTCGTAATGATATTGTAAAATGGCGATATTGGCGATAAGAAAGACTCTCTTGCGGCGCCTCACAACATAGTCAAGACACAGGGAATTTTACGCGAATAATGGATTTCCGCAGGATTTCTCGGTGAGAACTCTCACGGTGACAACCATTCGCCGTCGAAGAGGTACGTCTCGAAAGTACTACAAAATATGACTTACTTCTTTCGTGTTTTAGGGTTGCTTAGTTGATATATAGGACCAATACTAATGTAACTTATTTATATGATTTAGTTTAATAACGACGACGGCTGGTAGTTACAATATTGTAACATATTTATCCAGGGTACTATTCTATAGTATACACGTATAAATATCCGAAATATGTATCTTCTCTGTTTTACTGTATCAGTACCCATTTTCATTAGAACACAGCCAAGCATACGCATCGATCTTGAGTTTATCGTTGAAATTCAAACGTTTGTCAGCGCGATGCGATCGCAGAATGACTTCGAGACATTAAATACGAATTACTTCTGTATAATAAACGTCCAGAATTGTTTCGAATATTAGTCGAGATAAAAAAATGTTTGAAGTTATTTTGATGATCTTGAACGTTTTGAAAACATTTTTTTCTTTAAACATTTTATGTTACTAATTAATTTCAATTATCCATTTCATAGACGGAAAATAATCTTATTTCTAAAAACTTTAAACGTTCAGATATTCGAACACCTCAAATGAGAGATTCTTTACAAATTCAAGAATTTCGAAACTTTCAAGATTTTTCAAGACTTTGAAGACTTCCAGTATCGAATAATATTTGAGGCAATTCGAATGTTTATACGCTTGAGTTTTTAAAAAATTTTTCAAAAGAAGGATTCGAACAGTTATCACTAAATTATGCGGCTCTACGGGAAGGCAAAGCGAGAGGATCAATTCACGCGTGATCCTCGGGAGGGACTTATCGGTCGCCCTCGATCGTGTCTACCCTTAATGGACGAATACGCGGCCTTAATCGGTGACGTATTTCGCGAACGATCACTCTATTCTATCCAATGGCTGTGAGTTTCATGATGCAAAAAAAAAAAGTTAGAAAAAATCAAATGTGAATGCTTGTGTTCTTAAAATTATATTCGGACTAAACAACGAACGTCCAAGGTGATTTATATAAGCGCACGAATTTCTACGTATCTTGCCAGATTAATTTTGTACTTTGAAGACCAGATGTTTTTGACGCTTTATAAAGAACGGCGGTTCTGATAAATAGACTATGTCGAAACAAGTGTTTACGCATTCCTGTAAAAGCTTATGAATATTCGCAGCCACATTTCGTCGCCGAAGATAACGGCGAGCAACTATACGTAAGGATATTCCTTTGACAGCTCATCACGAATAATGACGAATTTTTCTACGCTACTCTACACTTGTATCAGTTCAGAAGTCAAGTTTGTACAAATTTTCAAGAACAAATTATTAAATTATCAAGTTGATTTGTTCTTACTTATGAATTGCTACTATTTTTTATACACAGAATACGAGGTTATTCCTCTAAACAAGCGTGAACCCCGACCTTTCTAGTGACAAGTATCAATTTCCTAGTAAGCAAAATGATAGCAGTCTGTAGATTGGTAACAGATTTGATCAGACATGTCAGCAGACTGACATCAACTTGCGTCCGCGTTCAGCTTATGTTCTGCCAGCAGAGTCTGCTCAATTTCTACCGTCAATCTGCTGTCTGATTATGTTAGCAGGCTCTGTTATACTTCTGTTGACGTTCTGCCGACATTATGTGATATATCAGAATTGGTATCAAATCTGTAGTTTTTCTATCGACAAAATTTATAGCAAATACTTGGCAAGATCTGCTTTTGACAGACTTGGTTGTCTGGGTCGTTAAGTGGCAAAAAGAATAACAGAAAACTTTTAAGGACGGGAGAGGAAAACAGCGATTTAAAAATTGATCTAATTGTAAATTAGTAAATAAAGTTCTTTTATATTCTCATAATTCACCAAAGTTAAGAATTTGAATCGACGATTTACAAATGCAATTACATACTAATACGATCATGACGCTTAAACGGATAATGTAATTTTCATGATGCGATATGTGTATTTTTACCTAAAAATGAAATGAACAATAATCAATCGATAGCATATTCGATTGTTAATATAGATATACTTTTATAAAACAAGTTTTGTCGAGATGTGCACGTACCTGATTATGCCGGTTTGGCATGATCATTAATATATAGGTAATTAACTTTATGTTGTATGTATAATACGAATAAAATATGCTTTTCGTATTACGATAAATTTCAATTTCAATGATCTCTGTTATTATTATTATTTTTTTTTTAATCCTCATATCCTATATTATACCAATAATCACAACCGCTTCGAAATTTTTGCAAAATGAGACTTAAGTTTTCACATAGCAGTGCTGAAAATAGCCACCCTAAAAGTTATCATTAAAATGTAATTTGATTACATCTCTGCAAAACTGGCAATCTTACCCCTTGCCTGGATAGGTAAGATGCCACTTGCAATGGAAGAAGACAATATAAATTCTGTGAGAGACATGCGGCACTCAATAAATGAAGTGCAATACGTGTACAAAAACATAGATTTATTTTTAACAATAAACTGTTTAACCATTAGTTTAACAACTAGTATAAACACACAATTTCAGAAAAATTGATATTTTTGTTTTAGATATACATTTATTTTAGATATATATTTAGATATGCGAATATTGTAGCGTTCACGATATTTTAAAAAATTAAAATATAAAAACACAAATATTTTATGTTAATATTCGTGTAAATAAAATAATCCGTCGCGCTAATAGTATTTTTCCTAAAGTGGCATTTTATCCCGATGACGAGGAGAAAATTTCACCTCTGACTTTTCATACACTATTATAACGTTATAAAAGAAATGGTTATTCAGGTCATAAGACAGTTATTTCACGTGGTTCCCAATATGTTAAATAAATCCACTTTCAATGAAAAGAAACTATAAAAGATCTTAACAAAGAATATATATTCTTCTTCGGATACACAAGATAAAACTAGAGAAATTTGTACGTGTCTCACTAGTATCTTCCCTCTATTTACTCTAACAATAATAAAGTTTATTCTGTTAGATTTCTGTATTTCGATTTTTATCTTTCATTTGATCTTTATGTAAGAGATTAATAATACACTGTAAAAAATTTAATGTTCCAGAAAGTCCACTCTAAATTTTGTGTTAAAATAACTCATTCATCGTGTTATTTTTTACATTTAGAAATGTTATATCGACTAAAAAATGTCGATATAACATTTCTAAATGTAAAAAATAACACGATGAATGAGTTATTTTAACACAAAATTTAGAGTGGACTTTCTGGGACATTAAATTTTTTACTGTGTATGTATCCTGTTATATTTATGTGCGTTAAAAGAATATTTTAATCACAATAATCACATGTATAAAGATAATTCTTTCAAAATCTTTTGGACTTTTGAACTTTTGACCAGATAAATCATTGCAAGGTCATATTTTATGATTTCTCGTTTGGCTGTTTTCTTATTCAACTCCATCATTTGGATTTTATTATCTACAATTTATCCAAGACCTATGCACTATAATACACTGGTCGAAACATACACCGTGATAAAATATATTTCGTAATACGGATACGTGATTATTAGTGTGATTATTAGTGATATGACTGAATGGCAGATCAAAGATCAAAGAACAAATATAAGATTAATATACCTATAAGATGATGCATCAATTTCACAGAACGTTTATTTTAACTTTTTTGATTGAATTTACATGCTATAAAATCTACATTTAATTAATGTCGTTTTTTTTAATGAATTCGCGAATAGAAAATTATAGTAATTATAGTTCCGAGACAAATCGCAAATGCGGCGTTTTACATTGTTTGTTTTTTATGGCATGCATAAATTTATAACTTATATGTATAATCCCGGATATAGCCAAATCTGTCGAGAGCAAATTATTTTGAAAGTGCCTGCTGCACAAGTTTCGTCGGTAGAATGTCAGCAGAAATGTAACAGAATCTGTTGACAGAACATAATGGCATATTGACTATAGAAACTAGAAGTAAAATTTGCCATTTCGTAACCGCATTTAAATAATGTGTTACATTCAAATGTTTACGAAATGATAGATTCTGATTATGAGATTATCTCAGAGACATCTCCAAGATTATAAAAAACCATGATAATTTTTTCTCAGATATGATATCTGATTCTGCATATATATCGGATATCTATATCTCATTTAAAAGCAGATATGTTATATACAACCCAAATAGCAAGAAGAAAAGAAGAATTCTTTTTAAATTCTCGCGATTTCTGAAATTAACTCTCTCTTTCCGTATTTATTCTCTGTCCTAAAATGGTTCTTAAAAATTAAAAAAAAAATCATTTTCATGTCACCAATTCTGAGCTTTTCTTCAGATATAAAAGAAGTTCTTTTTATAAGAATTCGTAATAAATTTAAAATTATGCTTCGATACTATTCCAATATTTTGCATTTTGCTATCTCTATATTCTATGTGATATCTCGGAGGTATCGCGAAAAATATTAGACTCAAGTCTCACATGCTCGCCTTTTATCCTAGCGCGTAAGGATTTTTGCTTACGAGAAAGTACTGACGCATGTAGCCGCGTCGCGGCAGCGCATGTCACTAGCGCTCGCTCAAGTGATTTTCTAAATCCCCTCGTGTTGCTTTCGCGCCGCGGTCGTTACCTCCGGCGCCGCCCGAGTGAAAATTTTTTAAGTTTTCTCGCGGCGTGTGGCTTTCGCCGGGACGAAAGCATGCAAATATTGCAGAGATGTCTTTTTCAAAGATATAATGTGATATCGAGTAATGATGTCCTGCAGATATTCTGTGAATATCTGAAAATAAAATATCTCAGATTTGACTTAAAATTGTAGGCATAAAGATATCTGGCTATATCTCAAATATATTTTGCTCTGTGGGTATTTTACAGATTTTACTTAAATTATGTGTAATAGAAACATTTAATTTTAGTAAATTTAATTATTTTGTATGTCAAAGTTTACGATTATTTGAAAATTTACGTTTAACTTTTTTTATGTGTTAAAATAACTTTAAAACGTGTTGATTTTTTAAAGTAATTGTGTTAAAAGAACTCAAAATAATATTTAATTTCTAAATGACATATATAAAGTGTTAAATTATTACGTTGACATAAATGTGACACATAAAAATGTTAAGAAAAAAATAACATAGCTGTATGTTAATTTTACATTGAAATAATAATCAAATCTTGGTGACACAAGAAAATTTTAACATATAGACCGCTATGTACACACGATTTTTTACTGTGTACATTAGCGTCTTTAAGATTACTTTCGTGACTTTTAATCATATGTTAGTATCTAACAATAAAAACGTAGAATTTTCGTCGTTTACTTAATAATGCTCACTGTGTGTGTCATTAAAGGATGCAATGAAGATGTCGGAAACTATTATACCATTATGCAATCTTGAGCCAATTATTATTTTTTTAAGATGCGCGTGAATAATTGCCAAAAACCATTTCTTGAGTTGCCATTTAAAATATGCATATTTGCAAATTGCATATTTACAAATCTGCTCTTCTCTTTTTAGCTTAGAGTTCTTTTACGGGAAAGAAAACTAATGTGGCTAATAATTACTTAATTACTTGTTTATGTAATAACTGATATAAAATGACAGGAAAGATAGATTATAAGAAAATCTCTCTCACTTTTCTAAAATTAGCAACAGAAGAATACGTTGCAAATATGTAATGTATAACTTGCGAGAATTACACTTTTACAATTATTTAAAAACTTTGTGTTGAATTTAACACATTTCACAACGTCCATTCTAATTTTTATGTTAGTTTAACATAGAAGATAAATATGTAAATAAATAACACAAATAATATGTGAAAAATTAACACAAAATTGTAACACCCACGCTATCTAAAAGTTTATGTTAAATTAATATATTTATAATGTTAAATTTAATTAAAATGAAATGTTATTCTTACATTAAATATTATTCTTTTTTTTCTTTTTCTTGGAAACTCTTATATGTAGAATGAAAATGACATAACTTAAGGATGTTCTACCTATAATCTTAAAAACAGTGAAAAATCGATAAAAATTTGTGAGATTGTTCTTTTAGTCTTCCTAATGTGCTGCAAAAAAATTGAAACGAATCCACTGAACGGTTGCTGAGTTATAGCGATTTAACCTTTAGACCGCCGGAAAGCCTAAATATAGGCTCTACGTATGATCGGAACTTTGTATATGTTATATAAAGATATAAGCACAACAATTTGAGGACTTTCTAAGAGGATTAAAGCTCATCAAATGCCGGCGCTCTAAAGGTTAAGGATGTAATTGCAGGTATTTCAAATATATTCAGAAATGGCTGAAATTTCGAGATGTTTCTTTTAAATTAAATTAAAAATACTCTGTAAGTGATTTACTAAACGATTTAAGAGTTATTTAAGTTCAAAGTTGATAAAATTAACATTATCCCTTATGGAGAATCGACATTTTTGCGGTAAATATGAATAAAAACAGTGAGATATTTCTAAAACTTTTTTTATATAAGTATATGTAAAACATATATTATTGATATTGTATTTTAAGTTTCAAAACTTTTTGTTAAATTTTTTTTATTTTTTAATTGTTTAAACAATACTAATTATTTAAATGACAAAACAAATACTCAAACTGTTAACGGTAATCCTTTCTAACATATAAAAAATTTTGACGAATGTAGAAACTGGACTAACTAAGAACCAGCGCGGTAAATGATGCGCGAAAGTTTTATTTATATTTTTATTTTACATATTTTCCAATCTTTGACTGCGCGCCGACTAGATTTGTCAGACTTGAAACATAGCTCCGGTTGGAGTAGTAAAATCCGACACCTCCATGGAATGAAGGAATTCCGATTTCCGGGTTCGAACCCTGGCTGAGGTAATATTTTTCGCAATGATTTCTTTACAGTTATTTAGATGCATATAGCATAAAAAATTAAATCGAATCAATTTAATTAGGTGTAGAGGGAGGGAATTTTACTATTCCAACCCGGAGCTGTGTTGTGTGTGTTTCAAGTCTGACAAATAATCTAGTCGGCACCCAGTCAAAGATTGGAAAATATGTAAAATAAAAATATAAATAAAACTTTCGCGCATTATTTACCGCGCTGGTTCTTAGTTAACCCAGTTTTTACATTCGTGCGGATTTCCATTGAAACCTATACTTCGAAAATTGAAAAAATTTTGAGTTGTTTGACATATATGCAAAGTCTTCATTTTAATAATTTTTTATTGAAAGCTAACTTTTAGTAGGGATTGTATATATAGAACATCCTTAAGTGTTTATTTTGACATTTAAAATATATTACCAAGAATTCGTGCATTTACATATAAATTGTGTTATTTTAACTCTTATAGAAACCGTGAATATTAATGCAGAAAAGACAAAATAGTAACACAATAGCAATATATATGTTACATTAACACAAGTGTATGTTAACACAAAAGTTTAACACAAAAATTTCTACTAATAGAAATCCACTCAAATACAAAATATTTTTTACCGTGTATAGTACACTGTATACAATATATTTTTCTTTAATAGGCATTATGCAAAATAGTAAAATATTTTATTTGCAGGTGGTGTAAAAATAAAGTCCTTCAATTTGCATTGTTTTAAAGTAGCTGTATTTTTAGTGGTACAATCATTATATATTATTGCTGATGTGTTTTGATATTTTGCAAAGTAATCACAACTCAGATATTTAAATAATTAAAGAATGATTATGAAGTCGGTGACATCAATTAATGTAAAAGAACAGCGATAAGATTCGACTACACGGACACAAGCGCTGATAATTTTTTTATAAAACTCTACGGCATAATCGATGGCGATATACTTATATCGAGGCTAATTATGAGTTCGTAACCATCAACACCGTGTATTACTCTAGTATCACTTACTGGCATTAGTTAAAATAAATAACAAGAAGTATCGAGATTAATACATCGTATTGCGAACGCGCGCGTGGAGAGAGCATCAACTGAGAGCAACGCACATGTTATACCTTTACCGGAAAACGCTGTTATCGTTGTCCTAGATTATCATATGTTATGTTTAACACCAATTTGCCGTGGAGATTCGCGCCATAAAGATCGACTGTCAATTTCTCATTCAACGCGATGATCTGTCGCCGAATCTTCGCGATTTCTTAAAAAGATTTTATAACCCCGATCGATCGATCGATAGAGAGAAGTGTGCGGTGACTACTTAAACGTAAGTAGTTACTGATTACGTACGAATCAATCGTCATCACGCGAAAATTTCGATAATTGATTTGCGTACATTCTGAAGTGCGATCAACGCACGATCGGTTTGAGTTTATTATATGTGTGATACGATGACTAAATTAATCAGATAACTATAAATATACAAATCAGATAAACTCTATAGACGGAAGCGATGAATAAGCGTCATAGAAATTTTTTTTATATGACTGATCTCCGCAAAAGGAGTAAATGAGATTCCTTCGGTATAATCATTGTAGAATTGTAAAAAGATAAACAAGGTAAGCAACTCTTCAACGAGCTTTTACAAGCTGACGTAAACGCTTGTTTATACATCAGTATTTAATAATTTTAAAATACGTAATGTTGATGACGGTTACAGAAATTTTATTAATGAAAAGCGGACAAGTTATTTCGAATACTGAACTTCTATCGATAATGTATACGAAAATGTAAAACAGAGGACCAGGAGAGGGGAGGGGTCACCCTGAGGTGCTTAAAAATAATTTTATTCTCTCCGGAAAGTTCTCCGGTAAGAGACTAAAAACACGCAATTTTTTTAATTATCACGCATTTTTTTTTAATTATCTCATTAAGATAGCGTACAGCAAAAAATTTCCTGCAAATAATATATATATATTATATATACTGCTATATGTGGTTATCGCTCGCAGATGATATAAATGTTATCATCGAATAAACTTGTTTTTCATTCAATGGAACAATAAAGCCTATTCATTCAATTTCGGTAAAGTGTTATTAGTATGTAGGATGAACAAATAGCTCGAATAGATAATAAAGATGAGATATATCAATTTCCTTTCTTTCCTCTTCTCGTTTTTATCCATCAGCCATCGTACGATAAATACACACTATGCATGTAAATTTCCTTTGATTTTTTTTATACAAATTAAAAATTAAAGCCGATTAGAGCCATTAGTGGGAACAGGCCACGCGACGCACCGCGAAAAATTGATCTCCGAAACAGACGACTCCAACAACCAGTTTAAATTTCGTAGAAGGCAAAAATTGGCGGAAACGCGACTACAAAAGAAATCGATATTCGCGCAATGGCGCCAAACCAACAAAACTCGGAAGCCGCCGTTTCGTCCGCGCTAAAAGGCATCATTTGTTCCCGCCCATGGAACCCGGCCGATCGACGTCAAAAATGCTGCGACACCCGCGCCTCGTTCGCCTCATCCCGTATTTTGATCGCACAAACTACGAAGCTGATCATCATGACACCCACCACAGTACCACACCGCGTGCGACGGTCTCTGCAGCGTAACGAGGAGCGCTCGTTGCGAGGCTCATGCCGTACATATACACCAACGGGAGAGATATAGCTCGTGCGGGAGCTAGCCAACGTTATTTCCGAGTCAGTCTACGGCCGTTGCTGGTTGCGGTACGCCGACGTTCTGCAACGTTCTGCCGCCACTGCGGTTCCTCCTTCACCCAGCAGTGTGATCGTGCAAATTGACGAACCGCGGGTTCGACAACGTGAGTTATTCGCGTATAACTTCGATAACTACCGTAATTTCCCAGCAATAGCGAAAAATCGGAGCAAAATTGAAGTATTATTCCAGCAAGACAACGGGACCGTTAAACGTTAAATCGATCATTCGCGATGCAGAATCATCGGCCCACTTCCGGAACGTTCTTATCTACGGACTTTATCATTCAGTTCCGCGATATATTTATTTTAAAATGCCTGAACGGGCCAGTAATTTTCCAGTCGCGAATAATCCAAGTTCGGAGAGTTTGAGAAACTACATTTCGGACATTACAAGTGAATAACTATTTTTTTTTTACTTCAACTAAATTCGAATAGAATTTAAGAGCTAGTTGGGAAGACAAAGTTGAAATTTAATGCGTGAAAAGACAAAAGAATTTTTTAAAGAATTTGCAGGCGAAGGAAAAAATGTAAAACTTGTGGAACCTTGCATCTTTTGCGCAACGGAAATGTTGATAAACAATTAAAAGATATTGTAAATAAAAAAACAAGATAATGTGCGGTTGTGCATAGGATACGTTACGAAGACAACGAATTTTGTGCTGATTGCTGATTATCGTTTTCATTTCTTATTTTTCCTTCTTACCCACGCTCTTTTTACGTTTTACTTGCTTATCTTAATACTAATTGCACACGCAACTCGTGATGAATAAAGAAAATGTGTCAAATCGAGTGTGAAATTCAGTATTGTTAAAAGGAAAAGTGGTCTGGAATGGCGTTCGAATTTAACCCTAGCTCGCCACACTCCGGTCCAGTGGATCGCTGAACGTTTTTCGGTTTTCTAGTTTACACCAAATAACATAATTTTCTAGTTTCCTTACAATAAGTTCAGTTTAAATTCAAATCATTTTCTTGACCTGATATTATCACATAAACATTTTATTCAGAGCCTGTATTTCCAATTTCAAGCTACAATACAAGCTTAAAAATATTAATTAGAATGAAAATAACAATGCGACAAAGTCGAGCGGTCTCACAGACCGGAGTGTGAAGAATTAAGAACTCGAAAATATAAGTTTGGCTGCTTATGGTTAAAAACGTAGAAAAAATCGTGAAGGAATTTGAAGCGCAGTTCCACGAAATATGCTGCCGCACGTCACACGTCGGAAACGCGTGCACCAACAATTCTATATAATCTTCACGACGCCGCGTGATTTTCGCGTGCACGTGCGTTACGCGGAAATAGATTTTCCTGAAACCGCACAATGCGCGGCGGTAAAACCGGAAGAGAGCACGGTCGTTGCAGCCGGCAGGGTTGCGGCCGCGACACGGGATCGGGAGGACGACGACGTCACGTCGTTGCCCTCGCCGGTCATAGCGGATCGTAAATAAATCAGGCCCTTTGATCGCGGTGCGTGACTAAACCTGACAGTGGAATAAACTCGGCGGAAGGCCGAGTTAGTCAACGCGGCTCGTAAAACACAGTCATATATTGTACACCCGTCGAGGTAATTCTCGCATCCGGTGTAGGGCTGTTGCTCTTCGACAGCTTCGAAGCTTCGAAATTAACTTCAAACCTTCGAAGTTTAAGGTATCTTCGAAGCTTCGAAGCTTTGAAAAATATATTTGCGACAAGCGACATATAATTGCAACATTAGAAATTTTATTCAGATTTTGTCATATAATTTTATAAATTTTATATTTGTGTTTATTGTAGTACTATTACTATTATGTTAGATTAATAATTATATAATTTTTATTCTACGAAACTTTGAAATTTCGATCTTCGAAGATTTTAATACGCATGTCAAATCACCAGCCCTAATCCGGAGTGCGAAATGAAAACGGGATGGAAAAAACACGATCTCGTGAACACTTTTATAAATGTCCATTTCCACCAATGCAGATTAACAAATAACGAAAAAATTACGCTCGATGAAGCAAATAGCAAAAACAATTAAAAAAGGCCAAATTTCGAGCAGATGCAGATTAATTTCGGTTTAACTTGGAGTTTTATATTTTTTTCTGGTTCTAAGAATTAAAAAAGAAGATAAAAAGTAAGTTAAACCGAGATTAGAGTCAATCTAGATTGTTAGAAGTGGATATTAGACGCACAATTTCGTAATTGCGTCGTACACAACGTCATACGCGAGGCGACTACGTCACCGAATGTCGGCGTACGTGTCCTATCTTAAATAAGTTGTACCGATTTTGTAAGGGATAGAAGGAATTAAGTTTTATGTCAGGAGTGTCTTCCAAGAGCCAATTATTCGACGTCTCCTTGACCTTCATTTCTAAATCCAGCTAGACACATTATCGTCTCTGACGGGGGCGCGAGGGCACGCGCGCATTCACGTATGTGTGTTTATTAGCCGTAATTCACCGACGGACGTCGCGGATGCTCGATCGAATATCGAACACTCACACGGCTGAAGTTCAATGCGCCGCATAAGATTTCCGTAGTGGCGCATCGCGCATGCGTGTCATGTAAAATTCTGGAACGACTGTCGTTCACCTTGGTTGTTTATTACGTACGTTTTATAATACACGTGGCGATTCACACGTGGCGATTCACGTCTAAGGGCCACGCGTAATCGCCGTCGGAGATTTCAAAAGAAATGTAAAAAAAGATGACAAAAAATAAAGAAGAAAAAAACGGTCTGTTTCCTTTATGAAAGGAGACTTCCAGGAACATTCTAAATGCTGTAAAACACGCATGCTGTCATAACTCGCGAATATGACGAAACGCAGAGCTCCGAACAATCCTTTTCATCTGTCAAAAGAAGAACATATTAAGATACCCAGACAGCACGCATGTCTAAAATCGAAATATAAGACTTGAAGATATTTTAAAGATGTCTTAAAGATGCTATCTGGATATTTGCAAGTGTCATTTTTTTCTTCACAATGTCAAATTGGTAACCACGCTTTCGAGCGCGCGAAACTTCATTGTCCTCTTTTCTTCTTCTTTGAATTTACGTTGACACTCATTTTTCTGTCCGTTTGCTTTCAGTTAAAATCATTTCTTTCCGCCCGCATCGTTTTCCCGTCGATGCCGAACGACTCGTTGTACCGCGAAAGAAAGTATCGCGTGATGACAGCTGCCAGCTGAAGATAAACCGATCTCGAGAATTCCGGTGTGGGAAAATCGTCATGGACCTTACTCCAGAAAACAACGTAAATGGAACCGGTAACGGCGTCCACGAGAGTGCGAAAGATGCCTTCAACAATAGCAACGGCACTACATGTATGTCGTATCTCTCCAAAATGGCTGCGGTGGATATTGAATTCAATGATGTGACATTCTCAGTGCCGAGCTCTCGGAAAGGTAATAAATCTTTTTTTCTTAAGGGAATGCTGGAGTGACGGCCGAACTTCCTCGATGTCGATAATGTCAACATTTCTAATTTTGTTTTCTCTATATCTGTCTTTGTCTAACGAAATGACATCTGTCCTTGTTCGATTGCTGCGCCATCTCTCGCTACACGCAATACTACTCCGCACGCATACATACATATGAGATTTTCAGATACATTTTTCTCTTATACTAAAGCTTCTAGGATCATTTCTGAAAGCACAACATTGTTCTTTTGTGTAATTCCGATGGCGCTGTATGCTTATTTTATACGTACAAAGTCTAAATTTTTATGTGCAGCAAATGTTGTCACGAGTCGACCGCAGAAATCGATAACAAAATTATATATTTTTTTTTATTTTTTTTTTATTTTTGATGCGTACTCTCCGTTTTTGTGCGTACTTTAATTCTGTAAAAAAGTTTTTTCAATTCCGTAAAGCCAATTCAAAGTTTTGTGTGTTCAAAAAAATGTCAGTAATTACTGCCACTATGCAGCATCCTCTCAAGAGACATACGATATTAGTATATTAGTATAATTAATGATAAAATTCTCCAATTATTTAATCTTAGCCATTAAATGCGCAATTTTTTGTAGAATTCTGACTATTTTTTAAATAAATAATGAGTACTTAAAGAATCCTAAAATATTAAAAAAAAATTCTTCTTTACTAGTTTGAATCCTTTGAACTCTTTTTGGACTATTTTTGTAATAATGTGAGAACAGATGTGCAAAGAGATGTACAAAGCCGCGCGTTTTCAGTTCAAACTTCATAAGAAAGAGTATAAAGAGTATCGAAAAGTCGCTAAATATGTATATGCAAAGCTGTGTATTTAATGGTTAAGTCAGAATAGTTTCGTTACGTGCGGAATAGTCAATAGCCAACGCGGTATAGTCTTCTTTTTTTAGGAATCCAGTAATCAATCACGTTTCAAGATTAATACATGATTGGCGTGATTCATGCTAAAGGTTTTACGTTATTTACTTTATAAGGCGGAATTTTTTTCGCATGCGCCAAATCTTTATAGCTTCATAACGCAATATACTCTTCTTTTTTGGAATTTGATAACCAATCACACTTTAAAAATATCGTAGACTAATATAATTAGTAGATAATTAATAGATAGATAATTTAAGATCTCAAATTATTTAATACTTGATAAGAATTGTTTCTTGTCTGCGGGATAAATAGTTTCGCGACGCGGCATAGTCTTTTTTCTGGGAATCCGGTAATCACCGATTATATTCCTACAATTACTGATAAAATAAAAAGTAAGTTTCAAGAGATAAATAACACATGACGATGCGTTATGCAATATAGGTAAAAGAAAATTGTTGCAAAGTATTGTTTTACGCAAAGCTATTTATTCTGTACCCTAAAGCAATCTCAGATTGCGATTTATATACCACAGACAATAATAATCGAAACATTCGATTACATTCATTATATCATTAGAACATTTATTTCTAATAAGAGTGTACTAATTATAGGAAACGCTGACGGCCGTACTTCCCGGAGTGATATGCTTAATATTAATATAAACATTTTTATATATATCAAAACGGCAATCTATTCTAATTAAAGAATAGCATCTCGCAATTCATGCACTTTACAGCAACATTTCAGGCATGCAGTATTTGTTTTATACTTGCCAAATTGCTATTATCTCGCGTTGTATATTTTTTTGTAAATTGCAATTGCTTAAAACTATGTTTCGCAACTAGTATACGAATCATCGCGTCACAATTGTAATAATAAAATATCACTACTTATTACTTTGTTTTTCATCAGGAAAAATGAACTAAATGTCATTGTTTTCGATAATATGATGATTGAAATGTATGAGAGATATGTAATCGGGAGATATTGCGTAGCAAGTATTACATGGTATCAAACTATATAATTACAGATAGCGGCCTGTCAATTAATTGATGAATGATTTGCCTGAACAAAGTACAGCGCAACTTTCAATTTGCAATGAAAAAGAATTTTCATGCTCTACATCGGCGAGCATGTCTAGTTTTAGCAATTTTTTCAAAATCAATATTGCAATAATAATAATTTCTTAATTATCAATTAAACATTGGCGAGAATATTAAAGAATAAATGTAATTTTCTGCAGAATATGAACTCAAACTTCTTTGCCGCAAGTTTAAATTATTTCAAAAAATAATCCTTCTGCAATGATGGACATATAAATAATTACCTGAAAATTCTTACTGTTCTGTTACTGTCTACGAATTAATGATTAACGCGTTTCGATAATCCCTTTCGAATATTTAAAAATATAGAATTCTCGATCAATGTCATAACTGAAAAAGAAAAGCAAAAAACAAGTACGCACATTGAATTGCCACGTTAGCTTGATTATGATTTCAAAGGTCGCCAGAACAAAAGTCAAGTCAGTCGTTTCAATAAAGACGCCGGCAGGTGAACAAACGGCATCCTTGATAAAGTGAGATAGACAATCATAATTTACATTGTAAATGTATTTTAGGTCATGTATCGCATAAGGAACGCACATTGCTTGCGTCACGGCGATGCTTGATTTTTCTTGAACAAAACAATAAACTTCGTGTGTTACAAAAAGTATAATAAAGAGGTATAGGAGCATACACATGTACATACAAAAAGATATAAAGTGTAAAGAAGTATAAATAAGAAGACGCACAGATGCGATGCAGATAAATCCTGTTTTTTCAACAATGTCGAAAAAAAGGAATGCGTAAGTTTTACAATCTGTTTTTAATGTTAGTTTTAGACTCTACACGTGGCGCTTTTACTATCGTATATTACTATAGAAGAACGCAATTTAATCTTTAATCGCATTTTTGTTCCAAACTCGTAAAAAATATTTTAGTTGTGAGTTATGCTAACAATAAATAGCCAAGTTAATTGCATTTTTTGTTACCATTCTTCTATAAGATTTTGTGCGATATCGTCATCCGATTACTTGTTTACAATCGGATTCGTGTCCTGATATAATCGCAAATCGTGTAAGTTTAGCTGCATTGGATATCATGAACTTAAAGATATGACAGTACCCCAATGGAGATATAACAGCTCGATTAGGTTAAAGTGGCGGTTTATCGAAGTTCGATATTAATTTAATATTAATTCAGTATTAATTTAGTATTAAATTCATTTCTCTCAGATTCAGTATTCGATTTATTTCCCTCAGATTAATTGATAGAAATGACTGATTGAAGTTATTTTTAATTGTTTATATAGCGCGTACATTGTACAAAATTATCTCTAAGCATATCACTAACAAGACAAGAAATTAACTTTTCCGTTAGAATATTAAGTCGTTAAATCGCGTGCGATTTATCGCAACTTGCGCAAGAAAAGGAATTGCAGCCTTGAGATACTTCCATTATGTTGTTATGCATCTAAACCGTTCGTTTTCTGACGATTACATCATATCATATTTCTAAAACTTAGTCAGTCAGAAGAAGATCAATTAAAACGAATCATCTCCTTGACCGTGTTATTTTCAAATCCGCGGTTGGATAACATTTTCAAACCAATCTAATCGAATTTAACCCACGCGGAGAAAAGTAATAGGAAAAATAATAAGATACTTATTTTTTTCTTAGATGTCTTTTCCTATATCACAATGTAGTCAGTTAAACCATCTGACATAAAATCTTCAATTCTCCCTCTTCATTTCGCTCAGCCATTTTACCGAATCTCATTATTTATAGATTGATTTTGTGCTTATATTTTTTTGGCTTCTGTTTGCATTCGTTTATTTTTGCGTTCACTATATAACGATCTGTCAATTTAAGTTTTTTCTTTTTTCTTTTTTTTTCTATCCACTTTCCGATTAAACTGTTTTTATTTTTTTTTTCCACAGCAGTTTTGCTGGCTTTGCTGGTCTTTTTTTTATATTTACAGATTTTCCATTTTTTTATGCTTTTGGTAATTATCCGGAATCAAGTCTCATACATACATATTATGTAACTAAGTTGTATTAAAAAATATATATATTTTTTTTCCAAGCAGCTACACGTCGAGTAGTTAATTATGCAGACTTTGTTGAGGGGGATCGACTTGAAAGATATCGCATTAGATATGTTGTAAAATCAAGACACGTACCACTACGTGGTTTCGTCGGTATTCCGCTTGCTCGAGTGAAGAATGTAAATTTTCATTTGTTTTCCATTCAACTCTTGCTCTCAAGAGTTTCTTGTTCCTCTCCTGAAGATTCCGCTTTTCAGAAAAAGCGTGGTAAAGTCGATGCCTACAGGCACTTCATTGACGCCCCTTTTCCGCGATGCTGATTTATTCTTTCACCGTAGGCTACACCTACCGCTACACCCCACGTACATGTTTACGTATGATGTAATTTATGTCAAGATCATTTCACGCGGAGAATATTCTTGCCGTAATACAGGTATCTTCGCGCATCGAGGCGTGTAATGGAGTAGGTCATATGCGTTAAGTAACATATAGTACGGGCGTGCATTTCAATGATGTTGAATCGATAATTATCGCTCTGCATCGACAATTCTCTGGACGGGATGTATCTTAAGGCAATGACTCCTTACTCTCTCGACGTCTAATTAGATATCACGTGAGAACAACCGCGAGCAATGCCACAACTGACGAGTACAAAATTACTTCGCGTCCGCAGAACAGAGAATCGAATCTATTACTTTAATGACAAAAATATATTGATTCACACTTGCGTCTGTGGCAATCTTTCAACTCGTAAATTTGAGACGTAGGAGAATTACAGGGAATCTGTTTCGCCCTAAAAATCACATTCGTATGCGATAAAATCGGATTCCTAAAAATGTCGCGAAGGTATTATGATAGCTTTTCCTTCTGTAAGAAATTCCGCACAACGATGAAACGTGAAATTTGTTGCGGTCTATAATAAAGATACGTAATGCGATTATAATTTGTAACATTTCGCTTTCTATACAGGCGTAATATTTTCGACATTTCTCTCACAGATATGGTAAC